AACGGAGTCTGGTGGGGTTTTTTGGGCTCCTGATCGAAAAGAAAACTATGCCAAAAGAACTGAGGGACTGCTCCGTTACAAAGCATGTGACCAGAGGCATTGAGATTCTCTGGAATCTCGCCGTTAATGCCCTACTTCTAAGCCTAAAGGGCACCGGTTGTCAAGCCATAGCATTCGCTGATAACACGGCAATCGTGGCAATGGACAAACATCTGCAGGTTCTGAGTGAGTTATTGCAAAGCTAACTCAGTCTGGTAAATATCTGGTCCAAGGAATGTGGACTTAGCATCAATCGTGCCAATACCGAAATGATACTTTTCATAAGGAAGTATGAAACTCCTCTATTCAAACCTCCCACCCTAAGCTAGGTGGCATTTACTCTTAGACGTGAAACTAGACTGGATGCGAAACGTTGAAGACCGCTCCCGGAAGGCCAATACCGTCCTGTTTGCCTATAAGATGACTATAGGCAAAAAGTGGGGAATAAAACCACTCATAGTACACCGGATGTACACAGCGGTTTGTAAAACCAATCCACCGTATGGTGGCCAGCGCTAAAAAACACTTTATCCAGAGCCAAGGTGGAACGAGTGAAGAGAACGGCTGCCATGCTCGTCACGGGAGCACTGCCCACTACACCCACGAAATCGCTGAAAATAATGTTAAATCTGTCACCTGTGGGTCTCTACGGGCAATATCGGGCATGCTCAGTGCCTACTTGAAACTCTGCTGGATAATCCACGTTATTTATATTATACCGCTCCCCCACTCTGTCTAGACAAAAACTTCTCCGTTAGGATCCCAGAGAGAAGCAAATAGGAGAGGGCCACATACTTTAACCTAGGGTCGGCGGCTATATATACAGAAGATTTCTAGCTTAACAAAAGAGTCTACTCTGACGAACTCGCGAAACTGGCGGCTCATAACTTCCGCCCCACCAGGACGGCATATTGCTATCTATTCTGACAGCCAGGCTGCTATCAAATCTCTCAATTCTAATGGAACAACGTTCAAAGTAGACATAGAATGCAGGAACTAAAGTATGGGTCCCTGGACACAGGGACATTCGTGGCAACTGCTTAGCCTGCGATCTACGAGGTAAATACCAGATGGGCTGTGGAAACCACCTGCCAAACCACCGGACAAATTTGGCTAAGTGAAGTGAAGTTTGAAGTGAAGCCATCCATAGCCCCACCCGGCTGGACCACTCTGCTCTCCGATTGGTAGTCGGGGTAATCACCGGACACTGCGTGAGGAGCATAAAAGGAGACGGTTAGGATAACCCACCAACGATTTTTGTCGCAGTTGCAGAGACGAGGAAGAGGTGCAGAGCATTGAACATTATCTCTGCTATTGTCCCGCCCTGGCCAACAGGCGCAACCAATTCTTCAACAAGCACTTTTTAGATTGTTCTCGACTTTTTTGCTTTATAAAACGCACTTGGTAGTTCACTTACCAAGGGAAAGAAACAAACCAATGGTTTTAGCCAGCGTTATCACAACGGGCTTTTCCGGTCCACATGTGCTCCGTGCGCGGTGGCAGTCGCTTTAATCTAACCTCACATAAGGCCTCAATCGATTTCAGATTGTTCACAATCGGCACATTTTGGTCCAACATTTTCATCAATAGTTCACGTTCATGATTTTCAGTGACGCATTTATCTTCTAATATTACGGTTTGGTGGTTGTTAGAAGGCATATTTCCTTTGCCATCTTATATAACCTAACAAAAGTGTATATGTATGCATACAAAGATACGTAATAGCTTCAGTGCATTTGAAAGGCGCCTTGTTCTCATATAAAAAAAAACCGGAATTTTCTCTAAGAGTATGCAAAAAAATTTCGTAAAGATCGGTCAAGCCGTTTAGGAGGAGTTCGACCACTAACACCGTGACACGAGATTTTTATATATTAGATTAACTGACGTCATCATTGAGGCCTGCTACAGATTGATTTGACAAACATTTATCCTTAAAACCTCTGCTTCCGTAATATAAAATGTACACGCAGTTTGGAATTAGTTGCAATCAACGACCATAAGATGTCCATATATTTTCGAATTTCCTCCGAAGTGTACGTGATTTGTTAGTGAAAAAAGTTATGAAAAATTCGGAAATTACGTATACTTTCACAGAAATGCGCGTTGTCAAGAAAATCCCGCTTTTAATATGCCACACACGGACTCCTCTTTTTACGATTCACAAACACATACGTACGTAAATATGTACATATAGAGAAATATACATATCTATGACTATGTGTGCAGGTATGACGAAAATAACTTCTGCCGGCATTATGAATGGAAGCACAGATAAAAAACAACATAAAAATCCAAAAATAAAAGCGTTTTATAAAAAAATAAATAGAATTATCGAATTGCTTCAACAAAAAAAAAGAAGAGCATAAGAACATAAGAACAAAAAATATTTAATGCCAACCACGTAAAAAATTTTAATTTCGTTGAAATATTGGTTGAATATTATTTTGTAATTTTATATTTGTATGCTAATTTTTGTCGAGCCATATTTAAAGCGAATTACGAGCATTCAAAATATATAGAACGAGAATCATTAAGCAACCAAGGCATGTGTATGCATGTTTGTGTAGGTCCCAGAACAAATTACTCTCGAGTCCATTGTAAGTTAAGTCATAAGCTTGTAGTGTGGTAAGGTTTGTATACTTGAGGCTCTCATATAATGCTCACCCAATGAGCGGATACGTGAAAAAGCTTATTTGTAAATATGTATGTACACTAGGGTGGTAAAAAAATGGATATGAAAAAGTAAAGTAAAGGAATTTTTTGCTCTCACGGGGGTTCTACACTGAAACACATACTCCTACTTTTTATTTTGAAATCAAAAATATTTAGAGCTCAAAAAAATTTGTTAGAAAATAAACAACTTTTCGTAGAAATGGTATAAATGCAAAAAATAAATATTTTCCGATCGGAAAACTCTGTTTCTCGTCAGGAGATTCCCAGTAATAAATATTTTTTGATTTCAAAATAAACAAGTAAGAAAGTCTAAGTTCGGGCGGAAGCCGAACATTAAATACCCGGCGCAAGTATTAAATATATGTTTTCCACCTTTCCGAAACTACCGCTACATGATAAGCCGGGGTGTATACATTTTAAGTAAATTAGCGTCC